TTTGTTTCCGGGCCATGTCTCAAGAAGCTTTTGAGCTTTTGCAATGAAATTTTATACCATAACTCCCTATAGCCTCTCTCGCCCCTCTCGAAGTGACCCACCCCTAGACAGAAAAGGATAAATGTCCTACAGACCCGGTTTAACGATAGAATGCGTTTCGTGTATTGTCAATGTAGCAGAAGAAAATACGGGAGATAACTCTAACTCAGTTCATTTACTATGAAAAATCCCGAGTGTTCCGAATGTCAAGATGGTGTGTAATTTGAAACGAGTAAAAAAACGTCGGTGAAAAAGTGTTGAATTCTTCCATAATATGGATTAAATTTTTAGATGAAAGGTATTTACAGTCTCAAAAAGGTTTGTTATGATTAATTTGACTGTTATTTTCAATGCAACTTCATTAATTTTCTCCAAAATCGTTTCCGAGCGATTCTGCAATTTTCTGCTACATTACGGGTATATGGGGGCATTCTAACTGTGGTGAGGGTCATCCCGAGACACAGTTAGATTATTCTAACTACGCACCCCGTTTTTTATTTTATTTATTTATTGTATTAAAAGTCGCTTGGCACTATTTTTAGCACAGGGGCATGTGGAGTGTTATAATAATTACGTATAATACAGGTTGTCGGCGAACTTTATATTCTAATTACATATATTAGAACTGTTTAGTAAAGGCTAAATAAGACACCATGTATTGATTAAAATTTTGACAATATCGAACGTGAAAATAAACATTATATGAAACATAATGTTTGCATTTAATTTCTTGTATATTCAAGTGTCTCTGTGGCCTAATGGTATGATGCGCGCTTAGCAAGCGAGAGGCCAGTGTTCAATCCCCGGACGATTCTCTTTCTTTTTTAAATGTTTGTTTTTTTCTTTCTTTTTTTTTTTCTTTTTTTTTTTGGATTTACTAAATGATACTATTCAACATGTGAAATGAAAATGTTATGATGTCTGGCGTGTACAAACTCATAAAATTATTATTACAGTGTGATAAATATTCTGTATATATTAAAAAGAATCTTCTATGTACACATATTAAAGAATAAGCAATCAAATCTTTATATCCATATTGGCTTTTTTTAAATTTGCTTCAATACACATGTATACATTTAATAATTCTACAAATACAGGGGGCAGTGTGACACCCCCCCCCCAACTGCGCATGCTCTTCTTTTTTCCCTAAGCGGGGGACACAAATTCTCTGAATTAGCTTGTTTTCTTTCAGTTACCTATCAATAGACCGATGATAGCTGTTGAGTGTGTCTGGCTCATATTCTGAGCCGTCCGCTTTCCGTATGGATAGCAGAAATGACCCGTTGTTCAGTTGTCCAGTTCACTTGGTTGTATTCTATTAATTTCACGAGTTTCATTTCTAGGACTCACATGCAGCCACGTAGTGAATTGTTTTACAGCAGAATGTGTTTTCTTCACAGTGTTCTTGTTTTTCATGTTTTCAATAAAATTTAATTTTTTTTTTTCATCAAATATCTTGATAAAGGTTGATGCATTTCTTTGTTCTTTGTTTTCCTTAAAATTTTCTACACTTACAGTTTCCTTGGATTCTTCAGGCAGCATAGCAGAAATGCCATCATTAAGAATACCAGCTAAGTCAAAGTCAGCATTAATGGTGTTGTCAAGTAGTTCAAAATCAGTTAAAAAGTCTAAATCGCCCAATTCTGGTAATTCTGTAATTTTGCAGATTTTAGTATGTGCAGCTACAGCAGTGTAAAGATGCAGACGATTAATTTGTAGCTTAATCATTAAATAATCTTATTAATTCGATCCTTTTCCTTTTATTGTCCCCCGCTTTCACTGAAAGTGGGGAATATTAATTTGGGTCTGTCTGTCCGTCCGTATGTATTTCTGTCTGTCTGTAACGCTTTCGTTTCCGCGCGATATCTCGAGAACCCTTTGAGCTTTCGCAATGAAATTTTGCACAGCAACTCCCTATGGCATAAGAAAGAATCCTATTGAATTTGAGGTCAAAGGTCAAGGTCATAAATTCATAAATTCTGTCTGTTTTTAACACTTTTGTTTCCGTGCAATATCTCGAGAATCCTTTGATCTTTTGCAATGAAATTTTACACAACAACTCCCTGTGGCTTAAGGAAGACCCCTATTGATTTTGAGATCAAAAGGTCAAAGTTCAAGGACGTAAATTCATATATTCCGTCTGTGTGTAACACTTTCTTTTCCGGGCGATATCTCAAGAAGCTTTTGAGCTTTTGCAATGAAATTTTACACCATAACTCCCTATGGCCTCTCTCGCCCCTCTCAAAGTATCCTGCCTCGTTTTTTTTTTAATTATTGTATTAAAAGTCGCTTGGCACTATTTTAGGCACAGGGGAATGTCGAGAGTTATTACGTATAATACAGGTTGTCGGCGGACTTTATATTCTAATTATATCTATTAGAACTGTTTAGTAAAGGCTAAATTAGACAACATTTGTTGTGTAAAATTTTGACAATATCAAACGTGATTATAAACATTATATGTGACTTAATGGTTGCATTTAATTCACTGTATAATCAAGTGCCTCAGTGGTCTAGTGGTATGTTGCTCGCTTAGTAAGCGAGAGGCCCGGGTTCAATCCACGGACGATTCTTTTTTTTTTTTTTGGATTTACTAAATGATACTATTCAACATGTAAAATGAAAAAGTTATGATGTCTGGCGTGTACAAACTCATAAAGTCATTATTACAGTGTGATAAATATTCTGTATATAGTATATTAAAAAGAATCTTCTATACACATATTAAAGAATAAGCAATCAAATCTTTATATCCATATTGGCTTTTTTTTAATTTGCTTCAATATACATGTATACATTCAATAATTTTACAAATACAGGGGGCAGTGTGCCCCCCCCCCCTTGAACTGCGCACGCTCTTCTTTTTTTCCTGAGCGGGGGACACAAATTCTCTGAATTAACTTGTTTACATTAAGATTAATCACTTCCGGCATTGTTGCTATGGAAAAAAGTTGTCTGCGCAAGGGAAAAAATATGTGTACTTTGTACTAAGTCATGAGTTTTAGAGAGGGGTGATATGGATTCAGAAAACCACAGTGTAGTGATCCGGAACGTCGGAGAAAATTAGAGAATGTAAATATAAGCATTGAATTCTTATTTTTGGATGTCGTCGTTCCTATGACACACCTGGCCGTGCCGACAAATTATCATTACCACGCTTACGCGCGGTATTCAATTTGTCGGCACGGCGAAGTGTGTTATAGGACCGACGACATCCAAAAATAAGAATTCAATTGATGCTTAATTGAAAACAAATGGGAGAATAGTATTGTAATAATCATTGCTAAATTAGATAAAGGGGTTATTTGTACATTGTCACAGTCACAGAATATGCCATGAATCATACCATTGTTTGTCATTAATTATACTATTGTGTTGGACCCACTTGTTTTTCTCTGTTATATGCTTGTCTTTAAGTACTATTTACCTGACGAGGTTATGTTCGTATATTTTATTTTATGTTTCTGTCAAGAATCTATTGTCAATTAATATAAGAATGTACTTATAGGAGTTTCAGTGATGTTATTGGTTTATCCATATAATAATTATTATGACATGACACCTACAGTAGATGCATGTAGGCCGCCATTGTATGACATCATCAAATAGTTCACTTGGCGCAATACTTTGAATTTGCATTAATGTAAAGCAAGTACAAGTAGTTACTGGTGAAATTATAGTTTCAATATCTTAAACTATTCAAACAATGCCTGTAGATTTGATTCCTCTTTTTATGGTTGTTGTCATTATTTTGGTGCTCTTTGTTAAGCTCAAGAATATTACCTAGTCACTGATGTTTACTATACTAGTTCCACCACAAGAGATAGTGCATTGTTCCCAATTATTGAATTCTTGATTTATTAAGTAAGTGAGCACTCATTTTATTGTACATAGAAACTATATTATTAATAGCATAATTTGGTAACAGATAATTGTTCCTTATTGTTAAAATCATAATGTATGTCTCTCAGAAATTGTCAAGAAGGAAAATGAAGCATTTTGATTGGTTACTTTCTAGATGCTAAAACTATATAAGGGAGAGAGCTCCTCGGTTTTGTCACAGGTACTTGTGGACAGGACCCCCCAACCCACCCACCCCCCCACCCCCGATATTCAACCCCGGGGCTTGTTGGGTATTTTTTCACAAATTATATTTATTGCACTTAGTCATCATGTGTACCATAGGAAAAAATCGTGAAAACCCCAAAATAATCATTCCACACAAAAAATGCCTCACTATACACTATAAGAGAGAAAGGTATGCCACTCCGGTTTGTTTACGTTGTACCCCCGCTGGTCTTTCTGGGTTAAAAAACATGTATGTATTTTATTCCAACCTAAAATGTCGGTTCACATTGTCTCTATATATATTTCTGTCTTAGTTCATGCTATCGAATTGACTCTGCATCTCCTAAGAATCCCACAAATCATTATTTTGTAAAGAAATGCCAATATTTCTTATAAAATCATGTTTACAGTTTTTATACAGATTACATTTTAAAAGAAAATAAAGTTCATCCTCTACTTCGTTCAGATCACAGAGACATATTCTGTCTGAAATTGGTTCTCCAGGATAGCGACCAGTCTCGATACGCAGTGGGAGCACACCCCACCGAAATTGCCATTGTAGACCTTATACTGGTTTCGGCAAGTCCATCGTTCAAGGCCGTATTCCTCCTTAATAGTGCAGAACGTCCGTAATTTTGCAGGTCTTTGAATATCAGATTGCAATTTGAATTGTTGATTTAAAAGTTATTTGTTGCAAACATAGTGTCAATAGTTAGGAAAAAATGACTAACTTCCTAATATTGTCCATCTCATTGGAATGTTATTATTCAGTTTTGTTAAGGAAAACAAGTTTTGTTTGTTAGTAGAACCTTCTGGCAACTTTATTAAGAAAATAAAACGCTATTTTGTAATTTAATATATGTTCTTTCTTATTAAAACAGTCAGTTTGTAACATATTGGAGTCCGGAAATGCAATCTATTTGATAGCTAGTAAATTTTGTGTGAGAAAAGAGCGTTAAAAACAAGAAAGAAAAAATAGTGTGCCAAAATTATGTTTTAAGTTCTAAAATTTCTCCACCATTCAGCAATCGTTCACCCCTGGAACCCATTGACACACATTACGTGAATTTCGCCTGGTGCAGTATCCGTTCTGAAATGGACAGCCCAATTCTCGCTCTGTGATCACACATTTGTCTCTGGCGGGAATTCCACTGTTAGGAATTGATTGTCGTGGAAGGTTGATCTCGATCTGAAAATATTTAGAGATTTTAACCAGATTGAAGAATATATACTCAAAAATGTATACTGTAAAAATATAAGTCTTTGAAACAGAACGATGATTTTGCAGACAATATCAACACCGTCTCTCTGAATACCAGTTTAAATTCTACCATAAATTTGGAGTTCAGTTGTTGGAAAAACTTTCATTTTTACGTTTATGGTGCTTGTGTAGATCCAATTTGTATAAAGATTTATACCAAGCGTTTTTTTCTTACCTGGCAAGAGCAGTCGTAATTCCATATTCTGTCCATAGTGGTTAGTCTGAAGTCTTCTTTCTCGGTGATTTTTAGCTTGTAGGACGAATCTTCGTCTATTGAAACTAGATAGAAATGATCAATTTAAATTATATGAGCTTTGTTCTTCAAATGAATGCTTTGAAAAATATAGAAATTTAAAAAATATGTCATGTTTTAAATTTTTCATACTGTGCATTGAAATGAAAGAGAGAAGAAAAGACACATACCATGATTTTAGATATTTTGTCGGCGTTTTTCATAATTAAATATCAACATTTTAGTCAAGACGAAAGAAGTACTTTTCAAAGTAAAGGAGATGGGCGAACATAGCGTGCAGAAAGCCTATAGCTTCAGATATGTAAAAATCATGTTCAGTTTTGTGAATTTAGTATTTGGAGTAAAGTTCTCATTATTGAAATTTATGAAATTATGATAAACAAAACTTTTCTGAGGAAAATTTTCTCGGCAAAATTTATTCTTTTATTAAAAAAATTAATATGGTATTCGTGTGGTTCGAACCCTAGCAATAAAAATCCTGAGTATCATTTTCTTTCGAGACTAGCACGCTAACCACTAGACTTCACAAGCCCTGATGAAGTGTGGCATTTAAATCATGTTTGTGATATGACCCTTGACTTAATGGACTTCAAGTATTTCTCGCAAAGCTGCGAATGTTATGTCATAAAAGTATATTTTTAATGTATAGTGGGTCATTGCTCCATATTTTTGGTAACCAAAAAATGCATATTTTTATGCAAACTTTGAGGATTAACTTTCAAAAAGGTGGAGCGAAGACCCACTCATATCGAAAAATAGTATTATAGTATGAGAAAATGACTCTTTTAGCCCGCTTTTGTGTGTGTCTAATATTTCACAGGCAAATAATTTCAATCTTTGCGGGATTTTTGCAAATTGTAGAGATTTTACATAAAGTATATTTTTATGTTAGACGAAATATCAAGGAAAATTTTGATATAATTGAAATTTAATTTTTCATCTTCATGTTTGTCACACTATAGGCTTATCGCTCGTCATGTTCACCCATCTCCTTAAAGGCGATTATATACTGTTTTAAAGTGTTTTTAAAGTACAAAAATGAACTTGCGATATATGATGTATGCCTTGTTGCGAGTCATTCTTGTAGGGCCACACGAATGCATCCTCCCTCTACCAGAGACTGTTATTACCCCTCCTGTGGAGGTTACCTGGCCCTTAAAAAACATGTCAGAAATGTCAATGGAACAGCATTACTGTTAATATGTACACTATGAGTATTTCATATCCGAGAAAAAGTTCTTAAATATTTAGAAAAGTTTTTTTAAAATCTTCTTTGTTTGTTTGTTTGTTGCTTTTTATTATTTTTAAAATTTTCTTTGAACTTTTTTTTAAAATATGTTTGCTTGTGTATGTGGATGAGTTTGTATTCTATTGTTTTTTATTGTCGTTTTTAAAAACTATTTTGTTATTTTCTTCTTTTTTGTTTATCCCTATGATCTTTTATTTATTTATATGCTATGTTTCTGTATAAGAAAATCCAAGAATTTTTAACCATTGTGAATAATAATTTAAAGTGTTTCTAGGTTTTTTTAGTGTATAAGTACCACAGGTATTATCTCTAAGCAGCGAAACACTGTTCAACGGTATTTCTCTGCTTAATTGCAAAATTTATACATGTAGTCGCCAGCGTGGGGCAGTGGTAAGAGCGTCTGCTCTAGAGTCGCGGAGGAGTTGATCCTTACGTCTCGGGTTCAAATTCTACCGCGGGACGTGGAGACCGGTCCTTCGGATGAGACCGTATAATGCGAGGTCCCGTGTCGCAGTAAGTGCTGGCACGAAAAAGATCCCTCACTGCTCAATGGTCCTGATTGCCGAGTATAGGTCTAAATTTGCAGTCCTCCACCGGCAAGTGGTGGCATCTCCATAAGTGTGAAAATTTCTCGAGAGGGACGCAAAACAACAAACAAATAAAATAAAAATATATTGAACTATTCCTGACCATCATTTTACTATTTCATGTTAGAAATCAATAAAGTTCTAATAAAATATTTAATGTGAGAACCTGTTTGTTAATATATTGATTCTTTTTCGATTTTTTCATTATCCTGTTTACCCTTTAGGTCTATATCTTGATAATAAAATGATGATACTCACTTTGTCCTACCCTTAATCGTCATTTTATGGAAGTATTTTTTTATTATATTTTTTTATGTTGTCTTTTTTTTGGGAGGGGGGGGGGTAGAAAGTTCACTTTTCAATATTTCGTATTTTCTTTAAATATTTATTTTCAATAATTTCATTAAAACTAATTTAAATAAATATTGCAAATGAAATAGAAATATGTTATACTGAATTTTAAACTAAATCACTGTGTAACAGAAAGAAATTGCTAATTCCAACAATTCTTTCATGTCAAATTGCCATCAAATCAGCATTATTTGTAATAGTAAATAACAAAGGGGATGACTAAGCCTACCTTCATATTTGATGTTACTTTAACCTGAAACAGAGACTCATCGGCTGATTCCCACGAATCTTGTACTATGCCGACGATGGCTGTATGAAAATAATAAGAAATTTTATTAGCACATAATTTAAAATGATATTTATACATAATCTTGATTATGTCTGATTAGTTTTTTTTAATCTTTTCATTTCATTACTGTGCAATCATGATAAATTATTTATTTTTTAAACATTGAACATACCATAAGCAGCGTTGCAGAAGGGGGTCTGATCATGGTATACATATGATCCACATCCAAAAACAAACTTGATAAAGTTGAAGACTAACAAAACATTTGCGACTTGCATGGTTGTGTCAGGATTTTTTTTTTTTACTTTATAAATGAAAATTATAGGGAAAACTACATTTATATACATGGGTCCACAAAAACTATCGATTTTTAGAAATTACTATTGAACACAAAATGAATCATTTGCAGCCTATTTTACGTAAGTAGGCAATTAAGTGATTATTTTCATGTCGAAATCCAGCAATACAAAAATATATGGTACGGCAGTGCATTCATTAATGTATAGGATACACAAAAAGATTGCCCCCTGTATAAACACTTGTAGCGAATTGTATAATCTCTATGTTTCCACATTTAGATAAGATTTTGCATTTTTTTTTTTTTTTTTTTTTTTTTTTTTTTTTGTTGTTTGTTTTGTTTGTTTTTTTTTTTTTATTTTTTCATTTGTATAAGTATTTTTCCTTTTTTCCTCAAATATTCCTCCAGGAAAGTTGAATTCGGATAAACGTATTATTTTCATTGAACTGAATTCTAATTAGGAATATTAGTATTCGGGTATACAGATATTGACTTTTTCTAACTCTAAATAAAAAGAAATAGTGATTTGTCCAAACTAATAAATTTTCCCAAAACTTTCATTAGTATGCACTTGTTTTGCTACAGATGCGAAAACAATGTTTACTTTTTCTGTTGTAGACAGCGATAGTGGCAATTTATACTCATTCCTTACACAGAAAACACAGTTGTCCCCTGTCAACCAGTCACACCCGTCTTTTGCTCCTTATACATATAATAAGAGAATACGGGTCATTCAAACCTTATACTTGGAAAGCATGAATGACTAAAATGTAAAACTTATTATAAATAACTGTATGCATTTTTGAACATTTATATAATTTTGCTGGTACATGTCCTCCATACTCGACAAAGACTATATAAAATTTTGTTGTTTAAACAAAATGTCAAGCACTCACCAGATTTGAAATTGTTGAATTAATTAAGAGTTCATTTACCCAATAAATGTTTCAAATAAGCTTTGAATTAGGAGAATTTACATTAAATTTCAGTATAATTATGAGAAATATAATGCACACATTATATGGAATAGATATTATCTTTCTTCCTCTCTGATACCATTCTCAACGGAAGGGGGTCCATGCAAGTATGAAATGATATTTACTAAATTCATTCAACTTAAACTCTATTTTAAATAAATTTCAGTATTAGAAACGACTTTCAATGTCATACATACCAGTACTTCTTGTTCAGTTCTTTATTCCGTTGGACAAACATACCATAAGCTTTGCAGTACATTATCTTATACCAAACTTAGTACACTTATATACTAACGTATAGCTGATTTTTTAAGCATTCTAATCGTAGTTTGTTTGCATGATAGAAAATTTTCCCTACGTTACTTGAATTATGTCTTAAGCGGTTGTATTAAGAAATTGTATTAGTTTGAAGGCACTTGAATTATCTTTAATTACATTCAAATTCGTGGGATGGAGTAATTTAAATAAGTGATATATCATCAAGTGGAATCTAGAGTCAATTACTCTACTTATTAGTGTCGATTACTTTGTACAAAGTTAACCTTTTAAAATTATCATTTTGATTAATGATAATTTGAAAAACTAAAATTCAGTGGGATGTTCCCTGAATGCCCACATTCATGAAACATGTTAATCAGTTTACATTAAAAATGATTTTTGTTTTTAGATTTTTTCATAAATAATTAGCGGTGACTTACATTTTAACTTTAAATTTGTCATAAATATTATGAAGCTATTTTGTTAACTTTAAATTATACATGTTTTTGTTTATAAATGATTTCTAAAGGTGCAATATAGAGGTATGAACATAAATACGATGATACAAACTGTTATAAATGATTTTTACCTGGATTTTGTTATCCCTTACAGGACCCAATCTTTGCACTAGTGAGTACTTTGTCTAGATGCATATCTGCAAGTCTTGAATGATGTCTTGAAGACGTCCATCATTGCTACTCTTCTTTGTACATCGGAATGGCTTGCCGGAGGAAAGTTCTTTAATTATAAACCAATGAGATGAAGACTTAAGTGCTGTCGAAAAAAAAATTGTGCAAATTAGAATTGAAATGCTCTTTTTACATTAAAAAGATATATATTCTAAGATTTATTTAAGATATGATGTACTAAAAAAAATGCAATCAATTGAATGCTGAACATTTGAATTCTTAAACTTATCTGATATATTATTCCTTCTTTCGAAACAGTGCCAAGACCTCCATAGAAATTGACGCACGTGCAGCTAGAAGTATTCTTATATAGTCTATATCTTTTTTTAGAATTTTATTGAAAGTAAATGTTTTGAAATTATCTATCCTATTTTTTTTATCTTTAGATACATTGCAAAAAAAAAGTGAATTTGAAAATCGATACAAAGAAATATATGCATGTTACTTATGTTCTTATTAGCAGCAACATTATATGGTCAACAGATCTAGAAATATGTAACCTTTTGTTTTATAGAATTATTCAGTATTAAAAGGGAAATAGGTCCTAAAGGATGAGTCCCAGTCAGAAAAAATGTCGACAGACGGCGAAATGTACCTTCAGACAGAAAAGTGTGTGTGTGTGTGGTTTTTTTTTTTTTTTTCAATCTACAGGTTCTTTTGGTTTTACCAAAAAAAAAGCTTACAATTGATGCAAAACATCCTGCAATTTTCAGTAGTCTGGAATTTAATAATTTATAAAAGATAAATCTTTGCTACAGAACATGTAGCAACCTCATTCATCGAAATAAACACCAGGTTAATACACCTAAACGCTCTTATGAGTATTTGGATGAACTTTTTTTTAGCAATATTCACAACGCTTTAAAGTCGACTATGTGTATAAAAAAAAACAAAACTTTTTTTAGTTTCTGAAACAATTTGATATCTCAAATTAAACTTGACCTTATCAAAGTCAAAGAATCAGAGGTGATAACACATTTTTGGCTAAAAAGTATCCTTTACACTTTTATATAGACTATATACAAATCAAGTATGATTTTCTTATATAAATAATAGCTCGCGGTATAGATTCCTACGTTTTCTAGTAATATATTTATTTCGCAAATAAAAACTATGCCGTCTGACCTCAAGATTCTGTTGGCCATACATTTTTTAATACTTTCGGCATCAGGTGCCATAACAATTCAGGGCTTCTGCCACTCTTGGCAAATATTCTGGCATGTCGCATACGAAATTATGTGATATAAATATATTGCTATGCTTCACCCTACAGTAATCTTTTAGCGCTTGTCCAGAGGGCACATAATACAAGTTTCCTGGTAAAAGATCTCAACCCTGTCTCTCTATAAAGTTATTGCCCGGAGAAAATGTTCTCTCCTCTTGACCAAAATAAATTGGCTCAGATATCATCCACAGAACAGGTGGGTAAAGGGTGCATGTGCAGTGGCATTAATCCAATCTGTTGGTAAAGATCAGGGTTTAACAGCTTTCCGTGTAAAATTCCTGTCAGTAACCATTTTCATCTCCCGCTAGCTTAATCTGGTTAATACAATTTTAGTACCTTTGGGAAAACGTTCATTGATCCTGATCCAAATTGTCTGCGATCAAGGTCGAAACAGATACTTCGATATTTTTTTTCCAAGTGTGAAAAAACATCACTTTTATTAGGTCACCTGAGTCACTCAGGTGACCTATTGCTGTCCGTTTTTGTCCGTCGGCGTTCGTCGTGCGTCATGCGTTAACATTTGAACATTTTTAGCTTCTTCTCTAAAACCGCTCAACCAATTTCAACCAAATTTGGCATATAGCACCTATGGGTGAAGGAGAACAAAAATTGTGAATTTCATGGTCCCTGCCGTCCTGGGGCCTAAGGGGTGGGGCTAAACCACTAAAATTAATGCAATCTTTAAAAATCTTCTTCTTTACTCCTGGACATCAAGCAGCCAAACTGTTGGCATTATTGTAATAAGTACTGAGGCCTCAACCAAATTGTGAAATTCATGGCCCCTGGGTCAGGGGTTGTGGTGCTAGGGTGGGGAAATATACATCATATAGTGAAAATACATTATTTCTTTGAAAATCTTCTTCTCTGCTCCTGGGTATTAAATAAACTAACTAAGTACATAGTAATGTTGAGCAAGACTGCCTCTTCCAAAATTATGAATTTCATGGCCCCTGGGTCAGGGGTTTTGGTGTTAGGGCGGGGCTTTATTGATTATATAGTGAAAATGCATTAAATCTTTGAAATTCTTCTTCTCTGCTCCTGGGCATGAAATAAACTAACTAGGGGTTCTGGTGTTGGGGGGGGGGGGGGGGCTCTATTGATTATATAGTGAAAGTGCATTAAATCTTTGAAAATCTTCTTCTCTGCTCCTGGGTATTAAATAAACTAACCAAGTACATAGTTATGATGTGCATAGCTGCCTCTTCCAAAATTGTGAATTTCATGACCCCTGGGTCAGGGGTTCTGGTGAAAGGGGTGGGGCTCTATTGATTATATAGTGAATATTCATAATTTCTTTCAAAATATTTTTTCTACTCCTGGTTATAAAGCAAAGAAACAAGTGTATAGTTATGATGAGTAAGGATGCTTTTACAAAATTTTTAAAACTTGTGGTTCCAGGGGTTGCATAGTTATGATGATGAGGATATCTCTTCCAAATTTGTAAATTTTCATGACCCTAGGTCATGAGTTCTGGTGTTAGGGTAGGGCTGTGTTAAATAGTGAAAATGCATTATTTCTTTGAAAATCTCCTCTGCTCCTGGGCAAATTGGAAGCAAACGCAGTAATAGTTTTAATAAGCAAGGTATTTTTACCAGAATTTTAAACATCTGGACCATTTAGTCAAGTGTTCTGGTAATGGCCAGGGCTCTATTAATTTGTATTCTACTGAGTGAAGTTATTCCCCTTTGCCATTCACCTTTGACATTTCACTGTAGATAATTTATTTGAAAGGTTAATAAAATAAGAGAATTATGCAATAACATTTATTGTATAATACAAAAAGTACTTTCATAGTTTTAATAATCAGGTAGACTTGGAAATAATAGATGAATAAAAAAGGAAACA